ACACACACACACACACACACACACACACACACACACACACACACACTCTTTTTAAAAAACGTTTATTTTAGGTTCAGGGGCACATGTGAAGGTTTATTACATAGTGACATGGCTAGCCTTTGTGTCCCCACCCAAATCTCATCTTGAATTGTAATCCCCACATGTCTAGGAAGAAACCAGGTGGAGGTGATAGGATCATGGGGGCGGTTTCCCTCAAGCTGTTCTCGCCATAGTGAGTTCTCACTGAAGGTTTTATAAGGGGCACTTCCTCCTTTGCTTGCCACTTTCTCTCGCCTGCCACCATGTAAGAAGTGCCTCTTCCGTGTCTGCCATAATTGTGAATTTCCTGAGGCCTCCCCAGACCTGAGAACTGTGAGTCAGTTAAACCTCTTTTCTTTATAAAATACCAAGTCTCCGCTACATCTTTATAGCAGTATGAAAATGAACTAAGTAAACTTGTGTCATGGGGGTTTATTATACAGATTATTTCATCACCCAGGTATGAAGCCCAGCATCCAATAGTTATCTTCTCTGTTCCCCTCCCTTCTCCCCCCCCCCCCCCCCCCCCCCCCCTCCCCCCCCCGCCCTCAAGTAGACCCCAGGGTCTGTTTCCTTCTTTGTGTTCATGAGTTCTCATCATTTAGCTCCCACTTATAAACGAGAACGTGTGATATTTGGTTTTCTGTTCTTGAGTTAGTTTGCTAAGGATAATGTCCTCCAGTTCCATCGACATTCCTCCAACATGTATTTTTTAACTTAATGGGGACCCATCTTAAACATATTTTGTGACTTGCTTTTATAAATTAACATCATACTTGAAGCATTTTACCCTGCCATTAAACATTCTTTGAGAAAATGACTTTGAACGGCCACGTAATGCTGCCGTTGGATCATTGCCTTATTTTCAGTCGTTGGGGTTGTATGGCAGCCGTGAAAATGTGCCCCTCAGATTTCCCACTCTGGGGGGTATAATTGCCTGAGGGCCCAGCTGCTGTGCCCCGAAATCACCCAGCTCATGGGGACCCTGCTTCCTGCAGGCTTCTCCCAGCTAGGGACAGCACGGTAGGGATGCTGGGGGTGGCTGGTTCCTGGGAGACCGGGGCTTCCCTGTCTGAGGATTTTCCCACATTCGCGCTGAACTCTCACAGGATGGCACCCGCAACTTCCCTTCCTTCTTTCCTCCTGTCCTCCAGCAGGAGTCAGACCTGCCTTGTGGAGGGACAGCTCCCCCAGACCCTGGCTCCCTCCTCTTTTCCCTCCCAGGCTTGGCTCTGATGAATCTCTTTCCTTTCCTTTCTCCTTTCTTTTTTTTTTTTTTTTTTTTTGAGACGGAGTTTCACTCTTGTTACCCAGGCTGGAGTGCAATGGTGCGATCTTGGCTCACCGCAACCTCCGCCTCCCGGGTTCAAGCAATTCTCAAAACAAGAGTTTTTTGTTTTGTTTTTATATAAAGACAGGGTTTCACCATGATGGCCAGGCTGGTCTGGAACTCCTGAGCTCAGGCGATTCTCTCACTTCCACCTCCCAAAGTGGATTACAGGCGTGAACCACCACACCTGGCCTTGATGAATCTCTTGCATGGCAAAGAATCCCCTTTGGTCTCTGCTTCTAGAGGGCCTGGACTAGCACAGGGCACCTCCACTTTTGTTTGCTTGTTTGGGTTTTGGTGTTATCCTTAATGCTGGTATGAACATGTACATGCACATATCCTGTCCAAATCTAGGATTATCCCCTTAGGAAGTTCTGTGAGGAAGGAATAGCAGGAGGGGGTTACTGCGTGGAGACAGAATCCTTTTGTAAGGCTCTGATGCGTGTTTCAGAAGTGGCTGAGTGGACCTCTCTCACCCTCCAGCCTGCTCCCTTGTAAAGCTCTGCTGATGTGAAGGTATAAAAAACCTCCTGTTGGCTGGGTGCGGTGGCTCACCCCTGTAATCCAAGCACTTTGGAGGCCAAGGCAGGCAGCTCACCTGAGGTTGGGAGTTCAAGACCAGCCTGACCAACATGGTGAAACCCTGTCTTTATATAAAAACAAAACAAAAAACTCTTGTTTTGAGAATTGCTTGAACCCGGGAGGCGGAGGTTGCAGTGAGCCTAGGTCGCGCCACTGCACTCCAGCCTGGCGCCTGGTGATGGAGTGAGACTCTGTCTCAAAAAAAAACAAAAAACAAACAAAAAAAACCTCCTGTTTATTTGCCTTTCTTAATTACCTCTGTGGTTGAACAGAGTTTCACACATTTACTGCCTATTTGATTCCTGGTTTTATATTTAAGCTTTTCTTTCTTGTGTTGTTTTTTTGAAATGGAGTCTTGCTCTGTTGCCCAGGCTGGAGTGCAGTGGCACGATCTCAGATCATTGCAGCTTCCAACTCCTGGGTTCAAGTGATTCTCATGCCTCCCGAACAGCTGGGATTACAGGCATGCACCACCACGCCCCGCCAAGCTTTCTTTTTTTCTCTCTCCCCCGCTCCACCTTCTTTTCTCATCTGTCTCTCTCTTTATCCGATTACCTCTTCTATTTGCGTTTTCTTTTCTTTTCTCTCTTTTTTTGAGACAGAGTCTTGCTCTGTCACGCAGGCTGGAGTGCATGATCTCAGCTCACTGCAACCTCTGCCTCCAGGGTTCAAGCGATTTTCCTGCCTCAGACTCCCAAGTAGCTGGGATTACAGGCACTCGCCACCACGCCCAGCTAATTTTTGTATTTTTAGTAGAGATGGAGTTTCACCATGTTTGCCAGGCTGGTCTCGAACTCCTGACCTCAGGTGATCTGCCCA